TGCTATTTGTTTTCCAACTGTTGCAGGTCATCGGACCTGGGACGCCCCCGATCGGTGCGAGGATGATGCGATCAGTGAAGCAAGAAGGGACTGTTTCACTGTTGCAGGAGTCTTCACGCAAACCCCAGGTGACAGCAAGAGTCGCAAGAGTCTTCACCTCTACAACTCCACAACCAATATCATTTGATATCGTTTCACATCAATGTGATTCCACTTGCATGCAAGCTAGAACGTTATTAATAATCAATCTATCTATTTCTTGAAATGGTTGCGTCTAATTAGTCTAATACTCTTCGTTCAGAAGGCCCCCCATCCTGGCCAGCCTGGCAGCAGCATGACATGGCCAACACCCTCCACCCAAGGAGAGGGGTTCGCCGCAGCCGTACAAAGCAGTGTTGCACGGAGAGCGAGGCCCAACAATGACCACCTAGCTTTTGCAGCAGGTTGAGATCAACACACACAAGCTTCAACACATCCCCATCTGCAATTGCCTGGAAGCTTTGCAGTCGAAGCAGTTTGCATCCAGGCAGTTGCAAACGAGTCTGGATTATGTGATGTTGGAAATCTGGAATGCGAACATGCCCAAAAAACTCACCCATCCTATCTAACACTTGACCCAACAGCAACCAGCACTTCATGTCCCGTCCCATTGGCAACCGGGAAGAACCCACATCTTGGACCTTGTCGCTGAATTCCTGCGGTGCTCGCAAAACAAGCGATCCGGAGGCACAGAATGCGGTCGGTCGGTCAACATCTTGGCCCACAAACATTTGTGCCGAAACATGATCCTCAATGACCGTTAAAGACCTCCGTGTTTGGCCTTGCATGGTCAGTCGGACATAGTGAACTTGCTGCCGCTTGCCTTGTTCAATCACAGTCACCTTCCGTTGAACACCAACAGCATCCAACAGCCGTGCTTCCAGCAGGTTTTTTCAAATTTTGCCCCAACCATCTGGCAAACATACCTCTCAGCATCCTAAGCTCGCTGATCGAGACCACTTTTTCCTCAGTGCTCCCTGCAAACCAGTGGCATCATGGTAGTACAAACTGTTCATACACCTCGACTGGTGCTAGATCCGGCTGGATCCCCAAGTTCCTTCTTATTCTTGTTGTTGACCCGCCTGGACGCCCGGACCGCGCCATGTCGGACGGCGCGCAGAAGAGCGGCCATGCCATGGCGGAGCTTCAGCGGCCGGGAGCCCGACAGGAACGCCGCCTTTTGTGGTTACCTTTCGATGAACCGTCCCGTCTCGGTCTGCACCGTCTGGAGGAACCTGGAACAACCAAGGGGCTACCATGGTATGCACATCTAGGGGTATATGATGCACAGCCTACATCACATTCGTTTAAGGTAGCTATTTCTAGGCTATGGATTCACCCAAGTAATTGGATCCTACACAAAACAGCTTACTGACAACCTCCGGTTTGTGTAGGCTGTCCAGCACATCTGTGGCACAAATTGCAGGGGTGGTAAGTAATTCCAGCAACGTGTGAAAACATCTGAAAACACATCTGCCATCTACATTTGTACTGGTAGCTAGCAGCGGGTGGCTTGTCTACTCTGACCTCTGACCTAGACAGTTGCCTCATGCAATGTCACTGCAAGCGTGCGTCCAGCCTGTGTAAGTCCGTCAACGGTCTGACGTTGCTGCAAAATCGGCATCAAAAGCACCATAGGTTGATTCCTTGAGCCCAAGATAGCCCAAGCCACATTGTATCCAATGTCCAAGTGTCATGACCAAGAACGATGCCGGAACATGCCGTTTATGTATGACCAAATGTCGTTTCGTTGGCTCATCCACAGTGTTGGCATCCCAGATAATACAATACATCAGAAGGGCATTCCCGCCATGTGGCGGCAATTTGCTTAGATGACATGCTCGAGAGATCCCGCAAAAAAACGGGTTTGGGGTGGGCAGGGGGGTCCTGAGATCTCCGTGTTCCCAGTTGTCGGCCGAAGCAAAATACTCCCCTCCAAGATCCTGTAGCGTTCTTGTTCCTAGTAGCGATGCCCTTTGCTCCTAGTAGCGTGTTTGCTCTAGTAGTAAGTTCAGGAGCCCCTAGTAGCGTTCTTGTTCGTAGGATTTGGTTCACTACTGTGCTTTTGCCGGTGGGATGGGAGATGGATCAACAACCATCAATAATGTAGACCTGTGATTAATAAAGCCCCCTAGAATAATGTATTTTTTCCTGCACAGATTAATAAAGGCCCCCAGAATAATGTATCTTTTTTTTTTGGCAGGGATAGTTGTAGTGGAATATGTTTAATTGTTATAGTTTACTTTTTACCTTTTGAGTTTGCTGGGATTTGCTTGTCTTACAGGCCTTTGGATGGAGAATTCTATTAAACATTTGAAGATTTCCATTGAGATTTGATGCTTTTGGAGGCTTTTGGATGAGATTTCTATTCAAAATTTAGAGATTTCCATTGAGATTTGATGCTTTTGGAGGCTTTACTTACCTAAGCTCTTTAGTCTTTAAGCTTTCCAAAACTTTCCAAAAGTCAGTGCACACTTTCTTTACAAAATCCCTTATTCAAAAGT